GCCGGCGCCTCCCCTCCTCCCGCCGGCGGACGGCCCCCGGATCCGCAAGGAGGCCCGAGCGCGTGAGGGTTGGTGGGTGCGTGAGGGCGCGGCCGAGCGTGCGCGGCGCGAGCAGTAGTCTTTGGCGGCGCGTGGGGCCGCAGGCCGCGGCGGACGCTAGGTGCAAGGAGGCTGCGACATCGCGTGGGGTCGTTGGGTGCACCGCCAGCGGGCCAAGAACGCTCAGATATCCTACATCAAGAACGCAGCCATCTCCCCTGTGTCTCGCTCGTCTTCTCCGCTCCGTCCCGGTCGCCAAGAACGCCTCCACCGACAACCTCCTGGCTGGCTTCGTCCCCGGTGACCGCTCTCTCCCTGGCCACAGAGAAGGTCGTGACCGACGACTCCATCCCCTGCAGCCAGGTGATTTCTCTTCTCTTTCAGTTTCCTCCTATCCTCCATGTCGACTGATGCTTGCTTGTTCACTTATTCCCTAGATTCCCAAGGTTAAAATATGTTATTTGGGTGTGCAGGACCACAGATCCGCTTCCCCTCATTCTTTTCCCCATGATCTGCTCAATGTCTGGCTTCCAAGTGCTCCTGTTGTGGTAAAAGAAAATGAATAGATCCCCTCGTTTCCTCTCTCACTAGAAGTCAACATTGCATACTTGTCAATGATATCACGTCAGTTAATTTGAGCATACTTATTACTGCCAATGATGTTTTGGAAAAGCTATGCTGCGATGATTATTTGCTTCCTTTTCAACTAAGGCATGGGGATTATATTATGATTCTTATTTACTTTCTTATTTGCTGAGGCTTTGGGAATTATGCTATGATGAATTACATTTTCCCTATAAATGAGGCTTTGTGCATATGCAGTGGGCTGAGGCTTTCTTATTTGCTGAGGTTCATTTGTTCTTTTCTTTGGCTGCTATTTTTGGCTCAGATTTCAGAACTGTTGCTATGTGTAGTCACTGCAGTGGGCTGGTGATCTTTTCTCCTACATCCCTAAATGTGGTTTCACTTCTCCACGTAGCTGCGCAATCCATTTGATTGCATCGACAAAACTGAGTGAGGAGTAAGAATCACAAGGTCCTTGATTTAGAGGTTTGTGACTTGCTTCATGCCACATTTGTAACAACGATTTTTTTAGTGCATAGTATACAGATTGCTACGTTCAGAAAATTCAGATTCATGTCATACTTAAAATTTATTCACTATTTTTTTGGATGATATGCTACGCCTGATAAAATTATTCTTTTGGCAATATGGTGACCAGCTGCTAACTCTGACAAAAATGGCAGTGGAAAATCTAATCAACGGTTCCTGCCTTTCATTTTCACCTTCTAATTGATATTTCAATGCTTCATCGCATTACTGCTTCTATTGAGATATTTTGCTATTTTTCATATGGATCAATTTTTACAGGAATCTCTTTACAGGAAATTATAATAGTTCAGTTTCGGTGTCCATGGGTATGTTGTGATGTTGGACCTATCTTTTTTTTTTTGATACCTGGTGCTTTTTGTGCTGCTGCTCTCCTAGGCTGTGAAAATACTATAGTTCAAATCTGCAGTCCCTCTCATCGAGCGCTATCTTTGGGTTCTTTAGGTTCAAAATTCTAATGTCCTTCTTTACAGACAATACTGAGTGTACCTGCCGTCTGAAACTTGGTTGTTTTTCCACATTTCAATTATTGATTTTTTGGCTTCCAAAGTGCCTGTTCTGTTTGTTTTCTCATGCAGACTTTAGGCTGAGTGCAATATGTTCTATATTTTTACCTTCTCCTTACATGTCTACATTTGAATTTTTCCTCATGCTGATTCTGATCACCTCATGCCGATTCTGATTACCTCATGTTCTATAGTTCAGTTTCGGGGCAGTTTGGCACACACCCCTCCCTCTTGCCGATTCTGATCACCTCATCTTTCAGGTAACACATCCTCATACAAAGACATAACAAATTTTAGTTGCCACGGCCACCTTCTAGCCAAATTAGATCCAGAATCTTTGTTCTTGTCGGTTTAGTACAGTCTGGATTTTACATTAATAGGTTGCAACTACACTGAAATTATCATTGCCTTACTATGGTTTTTGACTCGTGTAATCTTTTCATGCATTGCATCAAGTAGTTTTCTGTTGAGTACTTGGTTATAATATTGGGCTACGGCAATTTCTTAGCTTCACATGATCGAGTTAAATAGCTAATTGGGCCTTTGCCAATTGGATGTCTAGATCACCTGTCACTCACATTCCCTCTGATAATATATAGATGGAAGTACCTGCTCCTATAAGAATGAAACTGTCCATTCCCCATGATAGACACATCACAAACAGTATGTCAAATGTTTGTCTCAACCTTCCTTCTTTACTACCTCAGCTATATTGTGCTTCTTGTCCTTAGGGGAATAGTTGCCTGGTCATCCCTTTTATTAAATTTCCTGGTTAACTACATTATACCTACCTTGGCAAAACTATGGATCATTTCATTGGATGAACAAAATATTATGTTGTTGGAGGACATATGATGTTAAACACTTAAACTGCAAGAATATAACATGGAGTGCATTCTTTTTAGTGATGGCCTTCCTCAGTTTCAAGGTGAATGAAATATGCTGAGAAAAAAATTATTTTTTTCTTTGGAAAATAGGTTTGCCGAGTGTAATTCCCAAAAACACTCGGCAAACAATAATCCTTTGTCGAGTGTATTTTGGAAAACACTCGGCAAACCACTTTTTTTTGCCGAGTGTCAAATTTGACACTCGGCAAACCATTTGCCGAGTGCGCGATAAAAAACACTTGGCAAATCGCTGTTTGCCGACACTGTAGATGCCGTGTGTTGTTTGTCGAGTGTTTTTTTGTGTTTGCCGAGTGCCTGTGGCACACGGCAAAGTCACTGTTTCCGGTAGTGACATAGCATGACTAAATTATTGTTGCAAGGGGTGCGAACAAAAACAAACTCAGAAATTGACGTAGTACGACTTAATTATTGTTGCAAGAGTGCATGGCTAATGTTAATACTAACAAAGGGAAGGGCGACTTCTTTTAGCATCTATATAAAAAATGAGTGTTCTTGTAATACCCATTCTGAGTTTCTTCTTTTTAATATAATTGACAGCTTTCCTACCTTCTTTTTAATATAATTGACAGCTTTCCTACCTGATTCGTTGGGGCTCATATTTCTGCTCTATATAAACGAAACATCGTGCTGTTATAACATTGGTCTAGGCCATACCAACATCCGAGTTCATTAGAAAAATCTAAATTATGAATTTTAAAATATGATAATTTAAGACGAAATTTTGATACTCTAAATAATTTTAAATAAAAATAGTCAACTACAAAATTATAGATATGAATTTTTTATATAAAGTCCGCCTTTATCTGACTTTATATAAAAAAAGTTATGATTTTTTCTAGTGATAACTTATTATAGCGAAGGGTATCTTATGACGGTCGCTTCCTTTAATCAATTTACAAAGGGCGTGGCTAGCGCCCAGACGTCTGGACGCTAGCCCCCCTTCCGGATGCCCGTGTTGCAGGCCCCCATCCTGCGTCCCACGCATGCCTACCCACATCTTACCTGTTGCACCCGCCTGCAAGCACGTGGGGCCCACCCACGCCAGTGGGGATCGCCTTCGCCTTCCTACGTCTGACACCGAGGTGAGACAACAAAAAGGCGAGAAGGGAGATGTAACACTCGATTTAGTTTTGAAACATCCAGATTCAACAATTGCAACATACGTCTGAAAACAAATTAAACATTTGAAACATGCGTATGAAATATGCAAAACACCTGAAAAACACTTGAAACCATTGTACACATACGCGATAAAACTTGCATCATATGTGTGAAAACATATGCAACATCCAGATAAACACACTTACAACATACGTCGGAAAAAAACGGATGAAACATTAAGAACAGGAGCTTGCAACATACATGTACAACCATTGCAAAATGTGCAACATCCCAATCTACTTTTTCAACATCCATATAATCACTTGCAACATGCCTCTGAAACATTTGAAACACTTGAAACAGACACTTGCAACATGCAGTTTTAGCACAAACATCTCCTTGCTGGGTGGGAGAATGGAGACTCGTCGGCATGTGGAGTTCGCCGGAGGCAGCGGCCCGGTAGTGCTTGTAGGCAGCGCTTGTAGGCATCGTCTTGGCGGTGGTTGCGCGACAGGGCGGGGGGCAGCGGCCCCGCGTCGAGGTAGGGAGGCAGCGGCCTCGCGCCGCGCCTGGCAGGGCCGGTAGCCGAGCACCATGACTCGCAGACGACTGTGCACCTGGCAGGGCCGGCAACCGCGCCGCCGTGACTCGCAGGCAGCCACGCGCCGAAACCAGGAGAGGGTAACCGCGTGCCGCATCTGGTAGGGCTGGTAGTCGAGCGCCGTATGCGGGAGCGGAGCCAAGCGCCGCATGCGGAGTGAAGTGGAGCGGAGTGAGGTGTGCGGGAGTTAATTTTGTTTTTTTAGGCGAATGGCGCATACGGCAGTAAGTGGAGCGAGGTGTGCCTTCCGGACATGTTAATTGTAGCACTACCGATTTATAAAGGTGACACGCTTAAAAGGACTGCTTCTTAATAGCTATTTTTGAGGTGACCTCCTTTAAAACGCAAATCTATTTATTTTGTCTAGCTATCTCCGTAAATAGACTGGCTGTCTTTGAAAGACACAAGGCATTTTAGGAGAATAGTGATATTTTTTAGGTTAAAATGGACGCTTGAATCGGAGGCATATATTCCTCACACACACACACACACACACACACACACACACACCGGAGCCGTGAAAGATCGAAATGCACGTACACGGTACGTGCACAAGACCATAAATATATATTTGCAGACTACAGAGGAGGGAAGCAAAGCAAGCTAAGCTGCAACTCGCGCCATCCACGCCCGCTGTTGGTTTCAGCTGCTTCCGTTCAACTCTTGCCGTGTCGCGCGCGCGTTGCCGGCTCGCCGTCGATCGCACGGCTGCCCATTGACCCACCGGCAGCAAGGATGCCTCCCGCAGTGGTGGACGCCACCGTGGCCACGCCCGGCCGCCGCCGCCGCCCCGCGGCGCTCCCCAACGCCAACGCTGTCTGCGTCGTCGCCACCGCGCTCTCAGACGCCAATGCCAACGCCGGCGCCGCGGCGCGCAGGCCCAAGGCCAAGGCCGTCGCCTCCCGCTACCTCACCCCCTCCTCCATACCCACCTCCATCCCCGTCTCCTCCCCTGCCAAGTCGCCAGCACCGAGGACGCCCGCCTCCACGGACCGGTCGCGTTGGGTGCTCCCCAACGGTGCCGCCGCCACGGACGCCGCGGCGGCGTCCGGCGGAAGCGGCGCCACCACGACGAGACGCACGCTGGCGGTCGCGTTCCAGAGCCCGGCATACTCCTTGGAATCCAGCAGGACGAGCTCCGCCTCCGCGTCGTCCGCCGCGGAGCCGGCGGCGGCCACGCCGGAACCGAAGAGGCCCACTGCGCGCGCCAAGGTGTCCTACGCTAGCCAGAACACGTACCGGTGGCCGCCAGCGTCGGCTTCGTGCGGGCGCGACGGCCGCGCGCTCGCCACGAGCGCGGAACTCTCTGCTCCGACCAAGAAGGAGACTCAGGCGATCGCCGCCATCTTCAGCGCCGCGCGGTCGACGGCGTTCCGCGGGACCCCGAGGCGCGCGTCGGTGGACGGTGCCAACGAGTACCTGCTGGCGTTGTCCTCCGACACGGACAGCGCGTCGTCCCAACGCAGCGTCGGTTCGGTGCCGCGCCCGTCGCCGAGGAGCGCCATGAGCTCGTCCGCGCTGTTCACGCGGGACGGCATGGGGACCCGCTCCGAACGCTTCGCCTACCGGGTCATGCCGTCGCCGTCACGCGCGCCTGCCACGTCGTCTCCGGCGTCGGCGCCGGTGAAGAAGAGGTCACTGTTCACCGGCTTGCTGTCTTCGCCGTTCAGCAGGGCGTCTCTGAAGCAACCGTCGCCGAGCAAGCCGGTGGCCAGCGCGTTCAGGAGGGCGGCCAGCTCGTCGTCCCCGGCCCGACGCTCCACGGAGGGGCCTACCTCCGCCGGGAACACGCAAGGTAAGAGCTGCGGCGTGGACGGTGACATGAAGTGCAGGCTCCCGGCGGCGATCAAGACCGAGGAGGAGCACCAGCTGAGACTACTCTACACCCGGGAGTTGCAGTGGCGGCTCGTGAATGCACAGGCTCGAGCTGCGCTTTCGTCGCAGACCATGGATGCAGAGGTGAGTGACTGAATGAATGATTCTCTCTGTTCTGTTCGTATATTGAACAAAAATTCAGACATGATACAGGGTGATCATCGTGTAAGTTGTTCAATGATTTTTTGAAGGCTGTTGATGCTACATTTCGGTAACACAGCAGCTGATGGTTCTAAATGTTGATGACAGAAAAACTTGTGTGGCGCGTGGGTTTCTATCCTGAGGATGCGCAAATCGGTCGCCATTAGAAAGATGCAGCTCCAGTTTCTTCGAAACAACTGCAAACTCATGGCAATTCTGAGAGGACACGTAAGAACATCATGCTGATCCTTTGCTTCCTTTATACAGTCAATTCTCCATTTGTTCCTTGGCACTGGCATTCATTTATAGTTATCCATAAAAACCCTAGAGTAATAATGCAACTTTTGATGATTGGGCAAGAGCAGAGTTGTCTGTTTCAGTTATCAACAGGACCGCTGTAAAAGCTATTAGCAAACAGATCTTTATTAACAGAACTTGTAAAGTAGATAAAATCAGCTCATAATAGTCAGATGATATCACTACTAAAATGGACTCGTGGAGTTGTACTAGCATGCAAATTAAAATGGTCATGATATGGCTCATGAACGTACTTAGATCAGCTATAATTGCTATCTTAAAAGTCTAAAGTTTGTACACCCGGTTTGCCCCGCTGGACCTGCAGGAGTAGCTAACTGCTAATTTATGACACTAAATTCGTTTTGAGTACGCGTTCTTTTCACAAAATCTTATAAACTTACAACATGCAGATGAAATACCTGGAAGAATGGTCCTTTTTAGAGAGGGATCATGGCCATTCTTTGTCAGGAACAACACAGGCTCTGACTGCTACCGTCCTGCGCCTTCCTGTCTCAAATGGTGCAATGGTTGGTGTTTCATAAAACATGCAGAAATTTTTCATCACGTTGGTTTCCAGTTCAAATGTTAAGAGTGACCACATATTTTCAGGCAGATATTCATGGAATAAGAAATGCTCTTAGCTCTGCGGTTGATGTCATGCATACTATAGGAAACTCAACAAGAACCCAGCTGCCTAAGGTGCTGAATTTACTTATACAGAATTTCCCTTTCCAGTTCTCTTGGAATCATATAACATGTACACAAACATGATGCTACCAATATCACAATAAGTGATACGATGTAGCACTGAACCTTGAAGATGCATGCTGGTGTTTCCAGTCTGAATGGTCTGCCATTTTCTGCAGTTAGCCCGGACAAATGTCTTGGTGTCCCAGCTCTCCAGAGTTTTCATTCAAGAACACATTCTGATGGCGCAGTGCAGAGATTTGCTGTCCACACTAGCATCAATGCACGTAAGCAGTACATCCAGACCAACAAATTCGGTTTGATAGTCTGTCAGCATTGTTGATGTGCTAACTGTTGTGGATTCAATGTTGCTGAAACAGGTGACGTACAGCAGCCTACAAGGGCAGAGGATACAGCTGAACCAAAGGCGTCAGTATCTTCAGTAGTCTTCAGGCAACCTTCCAGGTGCAGCTGTGATCAGTAAGAATGAGACTTTGCCAAGTGCAATAGTAACAGTTAGGAACAAACAATATATTGTTCCTATAGCCCAACTGGCCAGGAAATATATATATATATATATATATATATATATATATATATATATATATATATATATATATATATATGGTCCCGCTATTGGGAGCCCGGGGATTCCAATAGCTAATGGAGAGCTCAGCCAGCCATCCCACCTAGCCCAACCATTCAGGTCCCGGAGCTAATGCGCACGTGCAGGTGGGGGACCCTGGGACCCAGCTGATTTGGATGTATAAAATCCCATATCAAACTGCGCTGGAAAGTTTTTATCGCGACGTTGCATAGAAATCAGTAGTTGAATAAATTAAAATTAATTCGTTAACGCATAAAAACCTCTCGTTCGAGCAGCTGACACAGCCTGACAAAGCTCACGCATGCATGCATGCACGCATCAAATCTAATCTCTTTCGTTTTTTTCATTATAATTCCTCAATGAAGGATCCGATTCAAAAACGGCTTTCACCATTGAACTTCTGATATTTTTGTGCACGATTCAAGATTCATTGTGATTATTTTTTGAAAAAAAAATTAAAAATCATAAATTTGAAATTTGAATCACGGCACGTGATGGTCGATTGGATGCATAGAAAGAATGGTTAAGATGCGCAAAAAAGTTTTTTGCACCGACATTACATAGAAATTAGTAGTTGGACCAATAAAAATTAATTTTGTTACCATGTCAAAACACAACCGTGATTGGCTCCACAACATCGTGCTTCCCACTATGGGGTGTATGATTAACATGAGAACAATGCATAGAACATGGAGACTGCAAGCGTAAAACATGGAGACGATCTCGTATTCTCTAAAATTTGAAATTTTAATCATGGCACGTGATGGCCGATTGGATGCATAGAATCAAAGATGCGCAAAAAGGTTTTTGGCACCGACGCTGCATAGAAATTAGCGGTTGGATGAATAAAAATTATTTTTTTACCACGTAAAAACCTCTCCATGAGATAGACATTCCACCTGACAATCGTGATTGCCTCCACCAACATCATGCTTCCCACTATGGGGTGCATAATTAAGATGAGAACAATGCATAGAACATGGAGACTGTAAGCGTAAAAACATGGAGACGATCTCGTCTTCTCTAAAATTTGAAATTTGAATCATGGAACGTGATGGCTGATTGGATGCATATAATCAATGGTCAACATGCGCAGAAGAGTTTTTGCGTCGACGTTGCATAGAAATTAGTGGTTGCACGAATAAAAATTAATTATGTTACCGTGTAAAAACCTCTCCGCAAGATAGACATTCCACCTAATGCAATCGTGATTGCCTCCATCAACATCATGCTTCCCACTATGGGGATGTATATTTAACATGGGAACAATGCATAGAATATGAAAACCGCAAGCGTAAAACATCGAGACCTCGTCTTCTCTACAACAACAACAACAAAGCCTTTAAGTCCTAAACAAGTTGGGGTAGGCTAGAGTTGAAACCCAGCAGAAGCAATCAAGGTTCAGGCACGTGAATAGTTGTCTTCCAAGCACTCCTATCTAAGGCTAAGTCTTTGGGTATATTCCATCCTTTCAAGTCTCCTTTTATTGCCTCTACCCAAGTCAACTTCGGTCTTCCTCTACCTCTCTTCACGTTACTATCCTGGCCTAGGATTCCACTACGCACCGGTGCCTCTGGAGGTCTCCGTTGGACATGTCCAAACCATCTCAACCGGTGATGGACAAGCTTCTCTTCAATTGGTGCTACCCCTAATCTATCACGTATATCATCGTTCTGAACTCGATCCCTTATTGTATGACCGCAAATCCAACGCAACATACGCATTTCTGCGACACTTATCTGTTGAACATGTCGTCTTTTCGTAGGCCAACATTCTGCACCATACAACATAGTAGGTCTAATCGTCGTCCTATAAAACTTGCCTTTTAGCTTCTGTGGTACCCTTTTGTCACATAGGACACCAGATGCTTGCCGCCACTTCATCCACCCTGCTTTGATTCTATGGCTAACATCTTCATCAATATCCCCGTCTCTCTGTAGCATTGATCCTAAATATCGAAAGGTATCCTTCCTAGGCACTACTTGACCTTCCAAACTAATATCTTCCTCCTCCCGAATAGTAGTGCCGAAGTCACATCTCATATACTCAGTTTTAGTTCTACTGAGTCTAAAACCTTTGGACTCCAAAGTCTCCCGCCATAACTCTAGTTTCTGATTCACTCCTGTTCGGCTTTCATCAACTAGCACTACATCGTCCGTGAAAAGCATACACCAAGGGATGTCCCCTTGTATGTCCCTTGTGACCTTATCCATTACTAAGGCAAATAAATAAGGGCTCAAAGCTGACCCTTGATGTAGTCCTATCCTAATCGGGAAGTCATCCGTGTCTCCATCACTTGTTCGAACTCTAGTCACAACATTGTTGTACATGTCCTTAATGAGCCTGACGTACTTCGTTGGGACTTTATGTTTGTCCAAAGCCCACCACATAACATTCCTTGATATTTTATCATAAGCCTTCTCCAAGTCAATAAAAACCATGTGTAGGTCCTTCTTCTTCTCCCTATACCGCTCCATAACTTGTCTTATTAAGAAAATGGCTTCCATGGTTGACCTTCCGGGCATGAAACCAAATTGGTTCATAGAGACCCGCATTATTGCTCTCAAGCGATGCTCGATAACTCTCTCCCATAGCTTCATAGTATGACTCATCAACTTAATTCCCCGATAATTAGTACAACTTTGAATATCCCTTTTATTCTTGTAGATCGGTACCAATATACTTCTCCTCCACTAATCAGGCATCTTGTTCGATCGAAAAATATGGTTGAATAGCTTGGTTAGCCATACTATAGCTATGTCTCCGAGACATCTCCACACCTCGATTGGAATACCATCCGGTCCCATCGCCTTACCTCCTTTCATCCTTTTCAATGCCTCTCTGACCTCAGATTCTTGGATTCTCCGCATAAAGCGCCTATTGGTGTCATCAAAAGAGTCATCCAACTGAAAGGTTGTGTCCGTACTCTCACCATTGAACAATTTGTTAAAATACTCTTGCCATCGATGTCGGATCTCATCCTCCTTCACCAAGAGATGCTCCCTTTCATCCTTAATGCACTTAACTTGGTTGAAGTCCCTTGTCTTTCTCTCACGAACTCTAGCCATCCTATAAATGTCCTTCTCTCCTTCCTTCATACTCAAACGTTGGTAAAGATCCTCATACGCTCTACCCTTTGCCACACTTACAGCTCGCTTTGCAGTCTTCTTTGCCACCTTTGTACTTCTCTATGTTGTCCACACTCCTGTCATGGTACAAGCGTCAATAACACTCTTTCTTCTCCTTAATAGCCCTTTAGATTTCCTCGTTCCACCACCAAGTATCTTTAGCCTCGCCTCCACTTCCTTTGGTTACTCCACACACCTCTAAGGCCACCTTCCGAATGTTGGTTGCCATCTTCTCCCACATGTTGTTTATGTCTTCTTCTTCCTTCCAAGAGCCCTCTTTGATAACCCTTTCACTGAATACCTCTGACGTCTCCCCTTTCAGTTTCCACCATTTTGTTCTTTCAATCTTAGCTTGTTTATCCCTACGGGCACGCACCTGAAAACGAAAGTCTACCACCAAAAGCTTATGTTGAGAAACAACACACTCCCCTGGTATCACCTTGCAACCCAAGCATGCTCGTTTGTCCTTTCTTCTTGTGAGGACAAAGTCAATCTGGCTAGAGTGTTGTCCGCTACTGAAGGTCACTAGATGAGATTCTCTCTTTCTAAAGAAAGTGTTGGCTATCATCAGGTCAAAAGCTACCGCGAAGTCTAGAACTTCCTCCCCCTCCTGATTCCTACTACCATACCCAAAACCTCCATGAACTGCCTCGAAACCTACACTTGTAGTACCTACATGTCCATTAAGATCTCCTCCTATAAAAAGCTTCTCACTACTGGGTACAGCTCTAATCAGGCCATATAAGTCTTCCCAGAACTGTCTCTTAACACTCTCGTCGAGGCCTACTTGGGGGGCATACCCACTAATTACGTTCAAGACCATATCACCAATGACAAGCTTGACTAAGATAATCCTATCTTCTTGCCTTCTCACTCCCACCACACTATTCTTGAGGCTCTTATCAATCAAAACTCCTACTCCATTTCTATTCGCAACTGTCCCTATGTACCAAAGCTTGAAACCTATATTGTCCATCTCCTTCGTCTTCTGACCCTTCCATTTAGTCTCTTGAACGCATAATATATTTACACGCCTCCTAGTCGCGGTATCAACTAATTCTCTTAACTTACCTATAAGCGACCCTACATTCCAACTACCTAAATGGATCCTAGTTGGTTCGACTAGCTTCCTTACCCTTCGCACCCGTCGAATCAAATGTGAAGACCCTTGCTCATTTTTCACTACACCCGGGCGCCGATGTAGCGTGCCACTAAGGATGCGACGACCCGATCCTTGATCACTTGACACCGTGCCCAGATCGCGACACGGCGCGTCACGGGGGTGACGACCCGGCCCTTGCTCATTTAACACCATACCCGGGTTCCGATATGGCGCGTCGCTAAGAGGGTTACGCCCCAACGATTTTCTTTCGGGTTTCATCTCCATTAGAATGGCTAGATTTAACGTTGGCTCGCCATGCCTAACACAACCCTCCTCCTTTACCAAGGCTTAGGACCTGCTATGTTGGGACCTCGTCTTCTCTAAAATTTGAAAATTGAAAAATAGCAAGTGATGGACGATAGGATTCATAGAATCAAGGGTCAAGATGCGCAGAAACGTTTTTGGCGAAGTGCACAGATAACTGCTCCAACAATGTATACAAATATATTGTAACAATGTATACAATACATACCAAGTTACAATTTAGCCATGCATAGAAACTTATGCACACAAGCATAAGAACACAAAATCAATAAACAAAATCAAAGC